AATGCATATAAAAAATCTGTGCGTTTTTTTCCCTCAAAATTTTGTATAATGAATATTATATGAAAATAGTTTTACATAAATCAAAGACTCGTTCGATGAATAATAACATTAAAATTATCGGTACAATTATTTCGTTTTTTACAAAAAAATTGATATCAATATGGATCCATTTTGGCTAAGACAAAGTCAATGTTATAGCATGTAAGATTATATTTTATTATCATTTTTTTATTATTATGTAGTTCTACTTTTTTTATAATGTTTCTTTGGCACCTGTAACAAAAATGCTAGATAAATGAGTGAAAATACATTTTCAGAAATAAATTTTTCCAATATAAGTAAAATGCAATGTTCATTTTATAGACTAAATTAATGACAAAAATGAAATTATTATATATAATTTGATTTCAATTTTCTAATTAAATGAAAGTCTCTAAACGAATAATTTTTTTTTTAATTTTTTAACGTTTTATTTTAATCCATTTTTGTCATTAAAATTATAGTATGAATCATCGATTCCATAGGAATATAGGCGTTTCAATGCTAACATTAAAAAATACACAGATATGATGATCAACAGGACTTACATAATTCTTATTTTTCCATTTTTTGTCACTTTTGTTTCATAAATCGTTCATTCACTCTTTCAAACTAATATTCAACACGTGCACACAACAGTGTTATACGAAATTTTTTAATCGCATTCGTTTCCCTAATTCTTCCAATTGTATTTTAAAAATACTTTCTTCGTGTCAAAACAAAAATTCTTTCTTACATAGCTTAACAATGAATTTAAAATATATTTCACATAAATTATTCCGATACATTTCATTATGTGCTCACAATATCAAACAGGTGCTGCAGTAATTAAAATTACTTTATAATGAAAAAGAAAAATAATATTATTTTTTTTTTTTTTTACATAGTTTTTAATCCTTTGTACTCGATCACAAAAAATTTTTCTAATATGTTACGTAATAAAATTTCGATTGATTAATTGATCTTGAAATATCGATTATGTAGGTTAGGAGAATATTACAAAAAGATTTATCGATTAATAAATTGATCACACTTATTACTCGTTATTATAGTCAAGTATAATTTATTAAAAAAAATATTAAGCAATAATAAATGAATATAATTTTGATAATTCTATGTCACTCTTATAACAAACCTAATCTTAGATCAGTATTTTTAGAAATATTGATCGAGGACAAAATATTTCCAATCATTGCCAAGAATCGAAAGTCAGTGCTTCGAGTAGTCGCAAATTTGCGATAATCGATTTTGCTGGAACAGTAGCTGTAGTAGGTTGGTATCGACCTTGAGATAATCGCATTGTTCGAGCAATATCGAACGTACATACCGTTAAAATTGTTCATTATTGACAGGTTTTTTATTAATATATAAAAATTCGTAAAAAAAATCAAATAATTATTACTGAACAGATTATATCGTAATCTATAATTTATTTTTTCTATTCATTACTTTAACTACTTATTACTTTAACGATTTAAAATCATTAAAAAATAAACATTCGATCGATCGTTTCAAAATTATTTTTTATATTTCAATAATTCGATTTAATTACGTAACATACATTGAAAGAAACATCGAGTGCAAAGGGTTTTTGCTTATTATACTATATAGCCTCGTATAGGACTCACTGTTTGTCACAAAACACTGAAAGCGTTTTTCATACAACATTGCTCTCGTTATACGTTCTCATTTTTGAGGACGAGTAGATCTTTGTCAACGGGACTGGTAATGTATTTCCGATTTCATTTGCACGAAATTAACAACTTAATTAATTTTAATAACACACACATGATTGCGTGATTCAGTTCTTTACATGCATCTTGTGTGTGTAATATTATTTATAGGTATATCTATTTTAACACCCCTCAGTATCCCGTTGAAATATTTTAATATATCGGAATACACAATTATTTAAATGCCGGTCAGTAAATGTGTTCTCTACAAAAAAAGTATTTGCGAGATTCATCTAGGAATGCTTCGATAACAAAATAAAAATCAAAAAATCGAGGGAAGTAGCACTCGTGCAAACGTAAGTAAAATACATTCACAATCGTTTAAATTTATAATACGTACATAATGAATTATAACTACGGAGTATAACGCTCGATGAATTTCTAGATCGAATTGAGAATTGATCGAAGAAATTAATATCGATATACAAGAAAATTTTTATACTAACGAGTATACTATCTTTTTTTATAGGAATAAATTTAATGATTATATATATATAATAATATTAATGATGATATCGATAAGACAATCGATTATAAATTAAATAATTACTACAGTAATACGATCGAAATCAAGCTGACTTGATTACGCTAATCGGCAGTAGTAATTTTTGCACATGAAATCACCACTCCCCAAGCAACAAGTAACAAGTAGCTTACATTGAAATCGATATATTACCAAGTTAAGTAAAATTATTTTCTATTTAACTATTTTTTAATTAATATAAATTTCTATTTTCTTCTATTTCGATTTCTAATTTCTTAACAATATCTCGATTCAAACTATCAAAACATCGACAAATATATATATTAATATTCAGCACCAGATAATAACACTATTAAATCACTATTAAAACTCACTACTATTAACGATATATATAAATATAATCGAGAAATAAATAATATTCATTTATAACGTTCGCTAATATAACTCTTTCGGCGTACGAGCAGGGAAATTCTTTTTTTACAATCTTTTGAACAACCGGATGTGTATATCTAACTTGCCAAGCAGTTTCTCCGCCATTTGATTCTTCTCTATTGTTCGCACAAATGAGTAACAAACAATTTAACAAATATATTAATAAAAATATAAACACGAAACAATTGTCAAACATAACTACAATAGACTTGCATAAAATTACAAAGAATTCTTAACATAAAAAATTATTTATCAAAAATAATTAATAAAAAGGCTTACAAATTATATACAATTTCAATTTTACAAAGATAACATATAATTCTGAATAAATACTTAATCAATAATTGAATTATGTATAATTGTTTTCAAAACCTATTTAATGAATTCCCTACTCGTACGTTTCTCTATCACATTTATAAATTAGACTTCAGACTTCTCAGCTCGGCAACAATCATTGGTGTATCTTCAACATGGAAATAGGCTTAAGTCGGATATAGAATTAGCATGATCAACAACGCATCATAAATTTCATTAGAAAGAAACTACGACTGGACATGTAGAACTTCGATCCTTGATGAGTCATTATCGTTTCGAACTATAACTTATTTTTTCATATTCGCATATATTGATTAGATTCATCAAATTATTTCTAATCATACAATAACATAACAATTTTTGGCATTTGAAGCATCGATATTGATAATTAAAATTTTAAACGATTTCTAAAAAATAATATTTCCTTTATCGTAAAAATCAATATATCTTTTCATCGTGATAAATGTAGAATGGTTGAATGTTTATAATATCGATTGTAACAAGAATAACATGTTGTTATTTCAGAAAGTGTCAATTGCAACGTTTTAATTAGACTTTCTATTCTTAATAACATTACTGTAAAACGTAACCTTAAGATTTGCAATATTTGTATGTTCTGGATTCTATAGACTCTAACAAGAAAAATTTACAGATAATAACTGATATATAATTTTTTGTGCGAGAAATATAACATACGAAATAATGTTTTTAGCCTATACGAGGTAATCGATCCTCTCAATTAACGCGCGTAAAACGTCCGACAAACGACCAGTTGGGGTGCATATAAAAAAATAAATGTTTGTTCCCTAATTGTACATTCAAAGAGCTTGTGTGCATCGTACTGGACGTTGGTCTACCACTTTTTTTATTTCCTGCACTTGTGCGCATATCTTTGAAATTGAAATAAAAAATACAAAGTTCAATTTGAATTACGAAGGGAGAAATATTTCACTCTTTCATTTTCAATGAGGTATACATTCATGAAAGCAGAACATTGTACGAAAAGAAACGGTGTCTTCTTTCACTTATATTTTTTTTTTAATCTCTTAAAACAATATATATATATATATATATATATATATATATATATATATTCTTATT